CGGGGTCAGGGAGATGGCTAGGCTTCCAGCTTGGACAAGGGGGTGGTGGGAGCCCTCACTGATGGGCGGAGCAGATGTGTGCACATGTACAAGCACTTATATGTTGATGCATGTGCCTTTGTGTATGCACGTGCATGTGTGGGCACACATGTCTGGGTGTGCATGCATGTGCCCGTGTGCATGTGTGTGTGAATGCATGCAGCATGCTTGTCCATGGTCACGAGGCAGGAAGGAGAGCTGAGCTCAGTGTGGGCTGGGATGTGTGGGCAGTAGGATGGAGACCAGGGCTGGACGGGAGGTCCTATCAGAGGGGACCTGTAATGGAGAGCCCAGTGGCCAGGCTGGAGCCCTGAGGAGCCCAAAGTAGGGCCCCATAAGAGGAGGTCTGCCGAGCAGAAGGAAGGTTGGCTCCACACCAAGAGCCTCCTGTGCTGGGCTCCCAGGCTGGCTCACACCCCTCCCCTTGGCCACACCCAGTGCCCAGGCCCCCACTGGGGTCAGAGCTCTCCAAGCCTGCTGGATAAAGGTGAAGGGCTGGAAGACGTTGGAGGGTGCTGACCCCAGTGCTGGGGGTTCATGTGGTCACTTCTCTCTGTAGTTCTCACATGGTGACTGTCTCCTCCCCGAACCACAGGCCGCTTGTTGGTGACTGGTTCCCCACATCCCAGCCTGGATCTCTGAGGCCTGCAGCAGCACTCCCCTCCTAGAGTCCCAAGGACAGTGCTCAATTAGCCCTCAAGCTGTGGGGACCCCACCTCTCCCGTCACCTTCTCAGGGCCAAACTGCCCTCACTGCCAGGAAGTTCTTCCTGGTGTCCAGCCTCCATCCCTTTGGCCAGCTCGGCCCCGTCCCTGTTGCACGGCCTCCCAGGGCCTGCAAGGTATCTTGGGTGGAGAGAGGAGAGCACTGGGCAGGGAGCTGTGGGGAGGCCACCAGAGACAGAGAAGGGATGACAGTGGAGGTGGCGACTTGAGAGAGCAGCCACACCAGGTGGGGACAAGGAGCTGGAACTGAAATCAAGGAGAAAGAATGACGATGATGCCGTTTACCGAGCGCCAACCATACGCCAGGTCTGAGATCTTTCGGGATTCTCCCTCCCTTGTTAATCTTACGGCCTCATCTCAAGGTAGGAGTTGACCCCACATCAAGGCTCTCGGGGTCACCATCAGCCAAGGGACTCTGTGACCACCTCCCACCCTGACCTGGCGTATCCCCACATGTGCGAAGAGCTGCAACCCACGCCCCACAGTTAGAAGCCCTGGTGCCTCGGTTTTCCTGACGACAAGGGCAGGGGCTGGGTGCCGCCCCTCGTGCTCTAGCCTCACCTCATCCATCCCGTCCGACCCTCCTCCCCAGGCCCAGCCTCCACTTCTCCTCCCCACCCACCCCAGGCTGCCAATGGCATCCCCAGACACCAGCCCACAAAAGGCGCTCTGTCGTCCTGCCTGGCCTCCGAACAGTGCCTGCCTGTGTGTCCTGGGAAGAGGCTGTGCTGGGGGAGGGGCGGGGTGGGCACCAAGGCATCAAGGACAGTTCAGGGGCTGGTGGTGGGCAGGGGCTGGGAGAGCAAGCAGGAGGGGCCACCTAGGGGCGCTCAACC